GAGGAGTTCAAGATCAGACTAGGCTGGATGCACAGCCAGAACCAATCTCAAAAAAAAAAAAAAAAAGGGAAAAGGGAAAAAAAAACATTTTACACAGCCCTGGTAAAGTTTCAGATTTTATATATAAAACATCTTGAGCACTTCATGCTAATTTAAAACACTCAAACTCACAGAGGACTGCTTTTAGTCACATGTGGTCATCTTTGAAGGCCTAGTTTAGCTCTTTTTCTTTAAAAAGTAAAATTAGACTGGTGAGATGGCTCATCTGGTAAAGGCATTGCCAGCAAGTTACTGTGCCTGACAACCTGAGTGTGTCTTCTGACCTCCATACGTGTTCCAAGGCTTATGTACGATGTACGTGTGTGCACACACACACATAAAGTTAAAAAACTAAATAAAAAGATTTTAGGTTGAGGACGTAGCTCAGTGGTAGAACACTTGCCTATGTGAGACCCTGGGTTCAATCTCAGCACCACAGAGAAATTTTTAAATAAAAATTAAAATGTAATTAAAAGGTAATATTTATAAATGTCTACAGTTATATCCCACAAGAAAATATTTCACACCAAAACTACATCAAGAAAAAGCAAGAAATTTAAGTGTAATTTCTTATGAAAGCTACGTAACTCATGCAAAATTTGATCTATGATGAACTCAAACCTTAATTTGTGGCAAGTAAATGTGGAGCACATTTCTAAACCTTAGCATATTTACAGGTTAAGCTCTGTGTTTGTGAATGCATACACACAAAAAAATCTTTCTAGCAGGACATGGTGACCCAAGCCTTTAAATCCCAGCACTCAGAAGGCAGAAGCACACAGATCTCTGTGAGATAGCGGCCAGTCTGGTCTACATAGGGAATTCCAGGCCAGCTGGGGCTACAGGGTGACCCTGTTTCAAAAAACCAAAAACAACAAAAACTCAAGAGACAAAAAAGAAAAATGATCTCCTAAGGAAAGCCTTATTCGGATCAAATAGTATTTGAATTACATTTAAATCTGTTGCTTGACATTTGGTCTACCATTTGTGCAGTAACTACCATTGATACAGTTTATCATGCTATTCATTTTAGTTCATCCAAAGTCAGGTTAACAGTCAATAGCAAATTGCCAAACAACAGAAACAAACAGCACTTGACAGAAAATATTCATGAAGTACCTAGTGCAGATACTGGCATTGTTACAAGCATAATGTTCACAACTATTTATAATCGCACAAAGTGGTTTCTTAACATTAAAAAAATGCATTAGATTCTCTAGCTTCCCCCACTGAACAGTGTTAATTATCTAATTGAGGTTTTAGTATGAATACATTCCATGTACACTCCACTCAATTCCATTCATTCAGCTAACATCTGTACACACCTGTGTACCAGGCAGTACACTACTTCTACTTCTCTCACAACAGTATTCTCCTAATGCATGGCCCATATGAAAACATGTTTGCTGATTTAAAAAAAAAAAAAGAACACCATGAAATCTCCCAGAGAATCAAATGGAAATATGAATTTCCTCATCAGAACTTTCTTTGCAGACAGTATTGATTACTTTTCTAAGAAAAAAAAGTGATATAAATATCAAAAGCACAACTCCTGTCTGGGGCCTTCCAATGACCTGTTTACTTGTATTCAAGATGGTAGAAGCGTGTGTTTATCATGAAGAAAACAAGCATACTATTTTTATGCGATAATAGTAATGGGTAACACTTACTGAGACTTACGATATTGCAAGGTTAAAATCCAACTAGCCATTACCTCATTTAATCCTCACATCATCCCCAAGAGACTGACACTGTAATCACCATTTCACAGATCAAACTGAGGCTTGCCTTACTCAAGGCTACTCAGCTATTAAGAGTTGGAACTCAAACCCAGTTCTTGGTTGAGATGTGCCTCAATGGTAGACTGCTTGCACTGTATGTAAAGGGTCTGAGCCCTAGTAACACACAGACACAAACCAAACAAAACAAAACACCAATCCTCTCAGTGTCCAACGCCTGTGCCCTAGAGATGGTATTATACTGTTAAGGCTTATGTTCAATTTTAACCTAAAACTTTTAAATGCCTTATATTTTTTCCTTAAAATTTTATTTTTGGTGGTACATACAAAAATCAATGTTTGTACTTGAAACCATGATTTTACAAGTCTAAATATTTGGATGGGATACAAAATCTATTTGAGTGAAAGCCCTGAATTCCTATAATGGGTCAGATTCACTTTGGAGCAAGAAGTGATTCTGTGGGTTGTCCAGTCCAAATTCTGTACTTTAGGAATAATGAAAACAGAACCCTTTTCAAAAACATATGCAGGGCTGGAGAGATGGCTCAGTGGCTGGGAGCACAGACTGCTCTTGCAGAGGACCTGGGGATCGGATGCCTTCTTCGGACTCCCATGGGCAATGAACAACGCGGGTGCACTTACACACATGCAATCAGTACACTCATACATGTAAAATAAAATAAAAACATCTACATGCTCAATCTAAAGTACACATTTTCAATCCAGAAAGTGTTTTTTTCCCAAAGCTTCATTTTTATAGATAATCCGCATTTCTAACATTTCAGTATTATACAGAGCATGGTGGCTCTTTCTGAAGCACTGTTTAAAAAGTAAAAACTTCATGACATGAAATCAGACTATTGCAGGACCATCTCCTCAGAAAGCTAGACTATTATAAGACTTATTATAGAAAACTATAAAATGGAATCCTTAACCAGATATTCTCAAAAATAGTCATTTCTTCCTTGAATTCAATTTACATCTATTTGGGTCAACTATGGGCTCAGATACATGATACTAGCCATGTCATGTGACTAAATTCAAGCTCATTTCAAGGGAAAGCTGTACTATGCTGTATTTAGAACACATTATCACTAAAGCAGCTAGATGAGTCTTTGTAGGCCTATCCAAAAACCTTGTTACAGTTGCTAAGAAACAACTTACCATATTATAAATTATTGGAAACCTATGGCAGCAGACCTTTTGTACAAACCAAAACACAGTATTTCCATAAATAACTGAAATCAGTATTGGACTTAACTCATATTAACAGTTCAAAAAATAACTAAAGAAACAAATCAGACTAACTGCCTTTCCTTTTCCACAGCTTCATACCTAGAGGGAAACAGAAGGGGAAAAAAAGCCCATATGCTTTTAGCATATTCAATGCAAAAGACAGAAAAAAATGTTTCCTTTCTGACCCCTGCAGTGATAAGGTCAGAGGGGATAAAATTCCTCAGTACAAAATGACACCTTCGGGCTGGAGAGATGGCTCAGCGGTTAAGAACACTGACTTCTTGCAGAAGACCCAGGTTCGCATCCCAGCGCCCACAAGGCAGCAACAACTGTCGTAACTGCAGTTCCAGGGGATCTGACAGCCTCTTCTGTCCTCTGCCGGCATTGCACGACACGGGTGCACCCTACCTACATGCAGGCATTAACACTCATACACATAAAAATAATAAGTAAAATTTTTAAAAAGGTATTTTTTTCAACAATGTGATAAAATTTCTCTATCTTTCAGGATTTTAAGCCCTGTTTCGCTTCAGAATACTCAATTCCACTGAAAGCCATTTTAATTGTTCTGATGTAACCAAGAAACGCTGATTTAAAATAATTTGTGACTTCTAAAATAATTTGTGACTACCCAGTGCTGACTTCTCCTAAATTTTTCATTCAAAAGAATTCTTTGAACATCTTAATACTTGTTTCCAATCTAATAATACTTGTTTCCACAACTGAACTGTGACACATGCCTTCAATCAGAATCCCTCTGTTTAGCTCCCCCGTGCCCATTATTCCTCTCCATCTTCTCTCAAAGCTTCAGTTCAAAACACAATTCTCTCATTTCCACTGTACCCTGATCACATCCCAAAGGCCACTTTCATATTCCTCAGAAATAACATCTCTGCAGTCTTGAAACTTTTAAATCTCAAAAACCTACTTCCTCTATCTCCTAGTAACTGCCCTTAATCCGACTGCAGATTGAGCCTGTGTCCCTCCCCTCCCGAAAGACCCAAGCAGTATCTTACAGCATTTGCCACAACTCATCCCCTCCCTTCCTAAGATATCCTCCTCGGTGCAAACCAACATTGCACCCCCGGCTTCCTGCATTTTACTCCCTTCCCTTATTTTTCGTACCCCTACGGCGCGCGCCTTCCCTTATTTTTCGTACCCCTACGCACACACACACGCACCTTATACCCAGGCACCCTTTACTTATCGGATAAATATTCCCCCTACCTCAATGCTTTCCCCGTCCTCTGCTCATTTTCCTCTCCTTATTTAGAAACTCCCTTTTGCTTTCCCAGCCACTACCCTAGAATGCCCAGCACTCCACCCTCTTTGGCAAAACCCAGCCCTCTTCCCCCAGCTCGCTTGCAGACACTGCTGCTTCTGTGTTCCAGGTCCCCTACTGCAGTCAACCCACTCCGTCTTTCCGCCCACATTCCCTCTACCCCCGAATCCAAGGTTTCCAGATTCCCTTACTAACCCCTCTCCTTAGAGACTCCATCAAGTACTCGGCTCCCTCTCGGTGTTCCTCGGGGTTCTCTCCATCCCAGCTCCCCCCTGCCGTTCTGCAGGATGTCACCAGGGTTCCGGGACCCCAGTAGAACCCGGGTGTCAGCGCCCAGCAGCCCGGTTCCCTCGGCGAGCTCGGCCCACACCACCTGGAACCCGAACGCGGGTCTCCCGCCGCCTTCTCCGAGAGCTGTCCCCTCCCCGGCCGCCCCCGCTACTCCAGCGCCCCGCGTCGGCTTCGTCGGCTTCCGTCGCCCCACGCCGAGCACCCAAGCCTCCAGCACCCCAGCCTCACACACGACGCCTCCACCTCCCGACGAGGTGCCTCCGGTGTTCACACCCGCGCTTCTTCCGACTCCCGAGCCGCAGCCTCGCCTCAGCCCGGCGGCATCTCCCTCGGGCCTGGACCCAGCCCCCTTGGACTGCCGGAGCCTGGAGCCCGGAGCCCCTGCCCGGCCCGCCCCCGGCCCCTCAGCTTACCGTTCTGAGCCGCACCTGGCCCTGGGAGGAGCGAGCCAAAGACCAGCAAGAGCGAAAGGGCCAGCGCGCTGGGGAGCGACGAGGCCGACATCCTCCCTAGCAGAAGACCGCGCAGCGAATGGGCCGGAGCCGGGGCCCGGGCCGGGGAAGGGAGGGGAGGAAGGGAGGGGGCGGGCGAGCGCGCGAGGGAGTGAGCGAGGGAGGCAGCGGCGGCTCAGCTCCGTCCTTCCCCGTCCTCCTCCTACCGCCGCAGCGCCCAAGCCTCGCGAGACCTGCGCTAGCAGCCGTGGGCGGCAGAAGAGCTTCAAGGCTCGCGAGAAGAGGAGGCGCTGGCTTGAAGGCCCCGCCTCTCGTGCGCGAAGGCCCCGCCCCTGCGGCGGCTGATTGGCCTCGCGCAGGGGAGGTCACGTGTGCACGGCGCTTCTGGCCAGGTGACCAGGCTAGGCGGACACTCCGCCCGCTCCTCCGAGCCGGGTAGGAGTGCTGAGTTCGCGTACAATTTTGAGTGGATCCGAGCGCCCATAAATAACCGAAAGCATTGTCGAAACAGTGTGTCTTCTCCAGCTATTCTGCCTTTCCTGCGTTACGGCCCGAAGCTTCAGAATTGGATACACCGGCTCCCCACCCTTGCTTTTAAGCTTCCTTTCATTAAATGGTCCCACATCATCCCCTGCGATATCTTCCTTCTGGACTTTGACCTAAGACCTCTAGTAGTATCCGACCTCAACCTCCCTGTCTCACGTTTTTTCCTTCCCAAGGCAGTGTTGGTGACTTGTGCCTTCCAACACGTACATCTGTTCCCTCTGCTTTCACTGTCCTCTTTTTCTGCCCCTACCTGTGCCCTTCCCCCGTTTGGTCTTATTTTAGCTTCATAACCTCTGAGGACTTGAAGTTAACTAGCCTAATTGCAGGGCCATAGAAACAATTCTACAAGGAAGTCGTCGTGCGGCAGGTTATATGAAGAATCCTTTAGGCACCCAGAGAAAAGAGTTGGTACTCAAAGTTCATGGCTTAGCCTAATCAGGATTCAGGATCTAATGTCGCTTAGGGTAGGGGTCAGCAAAATCCGTTGGCTAGGTTGCATGGAAGTTTTAAGAAATGCTCTCTTGCAGTCGGGAGGCAGAGAGGCAGGTGGCTTTCCGTGAGTTCGAGGCCAGCCTGGTCTACAAAGTGACCTCCAGGCCAGCTGGGGCTACAGGAAGACCCTGTCTCAAAAAGACAAAAAAAAAAGGAAAAGAAAAAAAAAAAAGATGCTCTCTTTAAACATTTTTTTTCTTTAAAGTACTTGTATTTTATTTTTATGTGTATGAGTGTGTCGTGGAGTGCCCACGGAGGTCAGAAGCGGGCGTTGGATCCCCCGCAACTGGAATTACTGAAGGTTGTCAGCCGCCATGTGGGTATTGGGAATTGAACCCAGGTCCTCTGCAAGAGCAAATCGTGTTCTTAACTGCTAAGCCAGCTTTCTAGCCCAGAAATGCTCTTTTTTAATATATATAATTTTTAGGCTCTGAAGAGATGGTGTAGTAAAGTTCTTGCTACAGAAGCATGCGAACCTGAGTTCCCCAGTACAAAAGGGAAAAGCTGGGCACCAGAGGCCCCCCTGTAATCTCAGTCTGGAGAGGTGACAACAGGAGGTTCCTTGGGGCTTGCTGCTTAGCAGGCCTAGCCAATTTGGGAGCTCCAGATTCAGCCACAGACCCTGTCTCAATAAAGCAGAGAGTAATTTAGGAAGACTCCAAGAAGTGGACCCAGTCACCACATGCATATGCACATACAAACATGCAGGCGTGCACACACGCACACACACACACACACACACACACATTTTGGTACTACCCTCTGAGCTTGAAGTTGGCAAAGGTGTATTGCCTATGACTTAACTCACCCCTGAGTCATAGCAGATGTCTTTGGGTGTGTCTATGGAGAGAAAATGAGAAATGATAAACCATCCCGCTGATCTGACTTTATTCCAAAGGCTTGGAAAATCTAGAGGAAGAAGACCTTCACAATCTCTCCAGCTAAAGGGGTCTCCAGTTTTTCACAGGAACTAGACAACTAGTGGTACCAGACTGAGCTTTCTAGCAAGGCCTATGCTGCAACTGTGGCATGTTCATTGAAATAAAGACTATTCTTCAAACCCACAACTGTGTAAATGACAAAAGAGTTGGCAGGTACCTCTGTCTGGACAAAGGCTATTCTGCAGACAGCCTTTAAGGACAGCCACAGGGTTGCTGTTGGTGGAGCCAAGATTCTAAGCTGATGGAAGCTTTAATCAAATGCAAGCGTTGTGCCTCATGAAAACCATAACAGACATCTCTATTTTATCCTTGCAACAGGGAATCCTCATAAAATTATCATTTGTGGATGGGACCACTAAGGCTGAAAGAGGACATGGCCTGTCCAGGACTTAAAAGTGCTTGTATTAATCAGCAATACCAAAGCATCTAGCTCACTTGCCTCTAGGTTTATTTTAAGAGTGCATTTCCTTGCCCTTTTGAAGTTGGGAGTGGCACATGACTGACTTCAGCCAATGAAATGCAAGAAATGGCATTGCATTATTTTCAAGTATAATCCTTTCATTTTCAGCACAGACAAGGTTGCATATTCTTTTGTTTTGATAGTAATGAGTATTCGTGACAGTAAAAATACATGTCAACAGGAAACTTACAACTGTTTGGATTCTTGAGTTAGCACAATAAGCTGAACCCTCTTGTCAACACACACAGAACAGATAACATCTGTTCAGTTAAGCTATTGAGATTCAAGGGTATTTGCTCTTATAGCACACCCTGAACTATTCTGGATATGGAAAGATGAAAATCCACACCACTGGCATCTACTAGTTATCCAGCCTTGCATAAGCAACCTAAAAATTTCTGACATTATCTATCAAATGGGGCTTATGATAGTTCCAACTCCAGATAACAGTAAATACTTTTTTTAAAGGTTTTTTTTGTTTATGGGACTGAAGAGATGGTTCAGTGGTTAGGAGCACTGGCAGTTCTTGCAGAGGACCTGGGTTTGGTTCCCAGCACCCATTTGCCAGCTAACAACCATTCATGAATCCACTTCCAGGAGATCCAATGTCCTCTTGTGCCCACTGAAGACATTGCACACACATAGTGCACTTACATACATACAGTACAAACATCATTTTTCTTTAACTTTCAATTTTAAAAGACTTATTTTGTTTAATTATGAGTCAATGTGGGGAGAGTATGTGCACTCGTGAGTGCAGGTGCCTTTGGATTCCAGAAGATGTGCCAGGTCCCCTGGAGCTGGAGTTATAAGCAGTTGTGAGCTGCCTCACATAGGTTCTAGGAGCTGAACTTGGGTCCTCTGGGAAAGCAGTACATACTGTTAACCACTGAACCATTTCTCCAGTGCCATGAGTAAGTTACAAGCTGTGTTTAGAACAGTTTTTGGTATGTAACAAGCACTCTAACGTCAATCATGATACCATTACAATTCTGACTCTAGCCCTGAGTTCCCTCCTTATCCCCCCACCCCACATCACCCACAATGTCATGATTACAAAAAGTGAGTCAGGAAAAAAAAAATGTAAGTATGCATGTTACCAGTCAATTCCTAAAATGTGCAGTTATGAGGTACCCTTTTACCTAGAAGAAAATGTCACCAAGTCCCACATGACAGTAGTTCCATTTTTTATTTCATTTTGTTGCTAAAATGCATAACTAAAATCTTCCAATAACTAGTAACATCTTTAAGGAATTTAGAAATGTGGGGGTAGGGTGTTGTTGTTTAAGGCTTATATACTAGTTAAAGCCAAGCATGGTGCCTTACACCTATAATCCTGGTACTGAAACAGAAGTTTGAGGCCAGCCTGGACTACAAAGTGAGATCCAAGTCATCCGCCTGGGATACAGAAAGTGAAACCCTGTCTTAAAACAAAACAAAAACATAACAATTTACCTACGCTAAAAAACCCTCATCTGTAGATGTGCCAGAGGACAGCTGAACTCCTTTCAATACATCAGGAGAGCCCTAGGGGTCCTCAGAGCTCAGGCTGAAGCACTTAACTGGTCTCCAAGGCAGGCTGGGAGGTCATCTTTCCAGTGTTGATAGTAGCGCTCCCAGGTGGAAGGTCTGTAATGCCCAATTGAAAGGCTTCCTATGGGTTGGTTGGATGTGGTTCCTTTAGCCATTGGAAGGAGATTAGTCACAAGGATACTGTAGTAGTGCTCCTAGAGTTGACCTTGAGCTTCCTAATGATTTTCTATTTTCCTCCTGCACAGATCTCTGCACCTTAAAAGCTCTTGCTATTCAGATATACTAGTCCACTCATCTTGACTGCTGTCATCTGACCTCCCAATCAATGTAATCCTTTCCCTGCCCTTTCCAACTCCTTGCACCGTCTATTGACTCCATAGATGAAGTCAATATCCATCCTTGGTGTTTCAATTCTTTTCATCAACAACCTTCTCAACTGAGCCAACCAAAGTTACACTCCTTCCATTCTACTTTTCCCTCTTGGTTAAATTTGGAGCCCATGGTTCACTCTCTTGCCCACCTCAATCCCCAGTTATCTCCTTGGAAACCCACAACCTGACTCCAGGGCACTAGAGTCTGAGATGAGACTTCATGCCTGCACTTGAATGTGATCAGAGAAAAATTACGTTACTAAATGAATGACTTCCTTTTATGTGCACCATCCCATACCTCCAAAGAGCACCCACACTTACCCAGCAGTCCTACTCTGTATCAAGTAAGCATGAATTCACACTCTCTGCATGTGGTAAACATGAATTTGCAACTGCAGCGATCACATGCAAAAATGCCTTTTTGCTCACCTCATCTCAACTCTGTTCTGAGCATCTGTGTGCTGAGAGATCACTATGAACCTACCCTCCTATTTCACAGAGTAACAGGAAATTCTTGAGATTTATTGGTAGTGGTAGTGGTGGTTTTGTTTGGCTGTTTTGCAGGGGTTTGTTTGTTTTTTGTCTTTTCTGTTGTTGTTTGTAATTTAAGATCAGTTCTGTAACCAAGAAATCACAATATCCTCCTTATAACAGTTATATTTGCACAACATAGAATAATCTGCTGGCCACATGAGCTTGTGGACAATTTGCTCCTGAATGGTGGTAAGTGTGTACAGCCAGAGGCACCAACAGTGCATGAAAATCTCAAGTCTCCCACTACCACTTGGAAACTTAGGGCACAATGGAGGAACAGAATGGAACACCTACCTGTTCTCTGTAGGTAGGTAACAGGTCTCAAGCTTGCTTAAATCCTTCCCACAAT